TACTCATCACGGTACCACTCCCTCATCATGAGCCTAATGCTTTAAGTGTACACTGTACAGCAATACCATACTCATCACGGTACCACTCCCTCATCATGAGCCTAATGCTTTAAGTGTACACTGTACAGCAATACCATACTCATCACGGTATCTTATCATGAGCTTAATGCTTTAAGCATTTCCTGGTCTCTTATAGACACTGTGTGGCAGCAGGTTTCTGACTGAATTATGTAGCCCTGAATAGGATCTTTCAGGATCCTAAGTAGGGCTGTGCGATATGACCAAAATCTCATATCCCGATAACGACATACATCGCAGCTGCACCTCATATTTATGGATTTCCTCTGCAAATCAGCTGCGGTACGAATTGGACAAAAATCTGCAAATAAAAAAAGGAGGAAGGTGACAAATGTAACGCGATCCTCAAATAGTCAGGAAGTGATCCACAAATGTGAAAAACCTGTTTCAGGTATAAAGATCGCTCCATATTCTTGTGTATATGATTTTATACCATACAAATAAAGATGCATAATTGAGGATAGTGATATATTTGTGATTTTATTTCTACAAATCAGCCTCGGTATGAACTGGGAAAAAAATCTGCAAATGAATAGGGGGGAAGTAACTAATAGATAGGAAGTGATCCAGAAATATGTAAAACCCCTTGTGTGTACACATCGCTCCCTATTTCTGTGGATTTGATTTTACACAACACAAAAAAAAACATTTCATTTTTTGGACAGTGATGAATTTGATTTTTTTGTAAAGAGCGGCCGCGGTATACAGACTCTCTAAGAGGTTTGTAGAAATATTTTTAAAATAGTTTAGAGTTCCCTCACAATAGTTCTGCATTCCCTCAATATTTTTCTGTTATTAACAACTGTATTGTGTCCATTTAAAGTAAATTAATTAATGGACTAATAGGTATAAATCTAAACAATACAGATATGTCCAGATAAGTGTACCTTAAGCATTAAAACTATGGGGGACAATGCACACTATGTATTTTTCATATACGTGTTTTTAGACTAATTTATTAATAACTGCACTGTGTCCATTCACTGCCAGTGACTGTAAACAAGACAGCAGGACTACTGAAAATGCAGTACAAACACAACAGGAGAAACATTGATAAAAATTCACCCATAAAGAAATCTGGAAAACCAAGGGGTGTTGCTTGCTTTTGTTAAAAGATATTACAGCCGGAAAATTGAATGTAAAGTTGTTTACCGCTATACTAAAATATTCCATAAAGCGGGTTCGAGTTTAACCCTCAACTCCGTGTAACATTGCAAATTGTCATCCAAATGAAAAAAATGCTGCCATAAACAGTGTGTTTTGCCACATCACAAAATAAACTATAGTGCATAATATGAAACGACAGATGTTTTTTTGTTTTCTGATATATATCGTCATATTTCACAGCCCTAATCCTAAATTGTACTATTGCACTATTGACTGTACGACCAGCTACAGATCATTTCCTGAGGCTAGGTAGCCCTCCAGCACATCACAGAGATACTCCATTGTTCAATACAGATCACTGACAAAGGGAATTACAGCAACAAACATAATACCACCAACATCTTGATTTCCATTTCTGTGGCTGCTGTTGCTTTCAAAGAACGATAAGCTTACCAGGCAATGCCAAGGTCCACAAAACAGGTTGCCGCAATTCGCCGTGGGCACCGAGGCCTATTAATGTCCAAATGTCTTTACTGTCTAAATGTATATATTCTGCTACTGTAAACCTGCAAATTCAGGATCGATGGCTCTCTCGATCCGTCTATCCATCCATATATTCATGCATGCATCCATCATGGCTGTTTATCGACATGCACATGCGCAAACACTGCTGCTAATAGGTAATGCCCCCCCCCATGAAGCAATAAATCATTTGATCAATTAAAACCCCCAACAGGGCCCTCTCTGGCGTACCTGTGATGACTCCCGGTGCCTGGGCAGCCATGACAGCCTGGGGAAGGCTGAGCTGCTGGCTGAGGGACAGGGGTGAGGCCAGAGCCCCCAGCACAGACACTCCCGCCACGGCCTCCTGGAAGAGCAAAGTTGGGTTAAGCGGGCAGCACAGCGAGCCGGAGCATGGAACAGTGCGGGCAGCACAGTGAGCCGGAGCATGGAACAGTGCGGGCAGCAGCAGCGAGCCGGAGCATGGAACAGTGCGGGCAGCACAGTGAGCCGGAGCATGGAACAGTGCGGGCAGCACAGTGAGCCGGAGCATGGAACAGTGCGGGCAGCACAGTGAGCCGGAGCATGGAACAGTGCGGGCAGCACAGTGAAGGCTCCACTCACTCTCACTCTCAGCATGAAACTATATACTGGGCAGAGTAGCAATTAACTGGAAATGAGCGGAGTCAGCTGACCACTGTCGCCAACTACAGCTGTAACACGCTCATGTACCCAAGGTAATATATTTAGAGAGCAAACAACAAAGCATGAAACACTCCCAAGTACGATCTTACACTGGGTATAAGGCCACATTTTTGTAAAAACGCTACATTTCGATACACATGCAATTAGTCTGATATTAACAACTAAGCTTTTTTTGCTGATAACCAGTAGTACATCATTGGAAGGTCACAACTGCCTACAATATCTGCTTATTTTAGTAATGCTGCAAACTTCAGATACTCAACCACAACTACTAAGTTCAAAGCCTAAAAGACTTTATTGAAACTAAGGCTGGGTGATATCACATTGATATTGTATCGTGCATGTACAATAGTCAGCTGGGCTCCAGACGATGGGTGAAACATTTAGCCGGGTGCCAGCTTTTCAGTACTATCCGGACATTTATTTACGTCCACAATTTGGTAAGCAGATCAGTAGTACGGCTAACATATTACTGAGATGTATTTTGTGACACCCAAAAATGTATAAGCTGTATAAATTAACCATATCTTTATGTTTATCACATTCGGGTAGCAGCATACACCACATAATACTGTTTCAGCATACCATGGTTCGGTATACTACAGTGCGGAACGCACTGAAGTGTTAGTGAAGAGAGGAGCAGCTCAGCAGCCACGAAATCTTTTAAAAGAGGAGATCTTGTGTAAAAAGACATTGGCGGTGTGGCAGTACTTTTTGCAGTTTAAATTCCGATACGTTTAACAAATGAAAGGATATGCAGAATTTGTACCGATTATCCAACTTTTGGACAACATAAAATGCCTCATTAATATTTTAGGTGCACTGCTAATCTACTTACCAAATTGTGGGCATAAATGCCCAACCTTTTTTAACTCAAGATCTACTTTTCAAGTGGCCAGTGTGCTGAGATCTACCAGATCAAATAGGGAGCCATAGCTATTATTCTACACTATTATTACTCTAGCTATTGCCTTTCTACATAGTTAACATGCACACAGCAAATCCAGACAAATCCAGGTGATCCTCCAAATTGAAACAGTGAAAATAAATGTATTTCTCTACCTTAGTGGGACCGCTGCCACTGGGACAATGCCGCTAGGTAAAAATTGATTGCTGTGCTGCTAACTGACTTTCCAGTTCTCACACTTTTCGGCTGCATGTGGCTGTTTTAGCAGGGAACTCAGTCTCGTAGCTTTTGTGCATCGTTTTGAAATGCCGGTCCAAACTGCCACTCTTAGGTAAAGCCACAATCGCATTGCATACAAGACATATAGACTTCGAATTTGAGTAAACGAAAAAATAATCATCTTCCCACCCTGAATAAAAAATACGTTTTTGACCTTTTAGCTTCTGACATGTTTGCGTGCTAAATGTTTACAGTACACGATTAGATGCACACTGAAAAATGGACGTGCGTGCACGCAAGTACACGGACGCTTGCGACGCACTTTGCGATCGATTGAGAACAACTCCGCGATCGACTGTTTGGGCATCCCTGCCAAACAGTATACCGAAAAGCTGGCGTCCGGCCAAGTGTTTCGCCCATCATCTTTAGTCCTGGTGATCACTGTGCATACGTGATATATCATCGACATATCTCCCAGTCCTATTGAAAATTTACTGAAACTCTTTCTGGACGACACCAACTTCAATGATTGGACACCTGGAGATTATATCAGTAGTACAACACCATAATAAAGCATACGTTAACTAGGGATACTTGATTACGTTCACTTACAAATAAAGCTGTTACGTTTACTTGAGTAAACTCAATTATTAAAATGCATCGAAGAAAAAAATCCTAATCGATTACTCCGCAATATGGCGGAAGGAAGACACCACATAGACTGTGAGGATCCAAATAAAGAGCGAAAGCATCACGTGCGTAGAAGCACTTCAGATTAAACGTGACTGACAATGCAGTCATCTGTCAGTATTGCGAAGCAGAACTTTAATATCAGCACAGAACGACTGCAATGCAAATACATGATAAAAGACGACATTCAGGTTTGGCAGACTCACCCAGGAATGTGAGGTTAGCCATAGATACGTGCCATCTAACCTCTAGTAGCTTAGCCTTTCTTGCTGCTTAGTTTACTTTCTGTGATTCCTATATGTCAAGATAATTGCTGCTAAAACTAAGATTAGCCCTGTCAGCCTCATTTTTTTTAATATACATAATACACTGTATAACCAATTCATAATGACTTTTTGTGAACATATTTGTTAGGGCTGAACAATACTGGGAAAAGTTCCCATTGCAATATTTGAAGTGTCTGAAATTATTTAGGAGTTGAAAATTAACTACATAGCCAAATAAAACGTATCTAACAACAAATTCTGGAAAATAAGTTAGTAGTGCCTTGCATGAGCCAGCAAAAACAAAGCAGGGCCGACAAATCAATTATGCTCAATATCGTATCTCTGTGGAATATTAATATTTCCATATAGTGGAAGACTAATGTCTTCGTGACCAGATCTTCAGACCTGCTCGTTATATTTATTGTACTGTGTGTACATCTTGCACAGTTCTGTACATATTTTTACTCCTGCACTTTTTATACATTTATCAACCACAAATGCACATCGCATATATCAACCAAACTGTATGTGACTATTGTCCTCTGTGTGTGTGTGTCTATATCTACTGTATGTATAAAGGCCACTGACAACCAAAGACAAAATTCCCTGTGTGACATACTTGGCAAATAAATCTGATTTCGAATTTAACTTAACATATGGCTCCTAATGGGAAACCTGGAAGAAAACAAGTAAAACGTAGCTTGGCGACCACATGTGGACCGAGAAGAGGGCCGAGGAGAACACTTTCACTTATCCCAACTAGTGAACACCCAAAAACAGCACATGAAGACGGGGGGGATCAGCGTTTCACATAAATATTTACCTGTGCTGTGATTTTTGCAGTTGCGGCAGCAGCAGCCACAGCAGCTGCGGGAGGCAGACCACCTGGGGTCGTGGGAGTCAGGAGGGGCATAGGTGGGGTCACCGCTTTGCCTACTCGTAGATATTGGCCACCCAGGTCAAAGAGGTTCATAGAAGAAACCGCATCCTGGGATGACTGGGCCTTTTCATACTCTGCCGGGGAGCAAGACCAGATTGAAGGGCTGGAACGACGCACCAACATGACGGTGTAGGGACCACGAGAGCACTGCTGCTCACCAATGAAGCCGTAGCCCTTGTGCTTTCCTGTGGTAGGGTCCCTGGCCAATGTGCAGGACTTGATCTTCCCAAAGGCTTCGAAGACGCTCTTGATGTCCTCGTCTGAGAGGTCAGGGTGGACGGACGCCACGTAGATCCGGTTAAAGGCGCGAGCCTCTTCTGCCAGCTGATCGATGATGGGCTGCGCCTGGCCGATGTTACTTGGCCGCCCCACCTACAGCACAGATACCAGCACAGGGCCACTCAATGGAGGTGTGTCAGACAGACACTGAACAACGCACCTCAAACTTCCTGACACCCATGAGGAACTTCACATCACCAGTTCTTGACAAATCTCAGCAAATTATCCTACTAGCTTGACATAGCTGCTCCTACACCTACCAGTCCCACACAAAGAACCTGGTATGCACAACTAGCAATCTGTAGAAGCACTACTACTAGAGATTAAATAACTTCAGACAAGTTTCTTATAAACTCAAAGTCAGACACTAATATTAACCAACTTAAGACTGCTATATGAAATTGTCATTAAAAAGCTACTCCTATTGTTCTTCACAAATACAGATATGGCGAAGACTAAACTAATTTGAGTAAACACCTAAGTTGATGAAAATCAGCTATATCCAGCTATCATTCCAGTTCCTATGTGATTTAATCAAGTAAACCTCTCATAACCCTACAACGTACTTCAGAAAAAAAACCTATGGAGGTATAACTGATCTGTTCATAAGTCACGCTAAAGAAACTGTAGATTTTCTACACTTGTCTCATAGCATGCTACAACACGCCTCAGACCACCAAGGCAACATCATGCCACGTATATTCTGGGCATCAAGCTAACGCTCACATAGCTGCAGCATCTCAGACTGAATTTTCCTTCAGCTTAGTCACTGGCAGTATAGACAAAAACGACCAAAGTGGCTGATCCTGGAAGCAGGAAGAGCTTTAGCGTTGCCAAATATTCTCAATGCATTCACAGCGCATCTATCTTTAAAGTAGAAGTTCCTTCCAGGCTGGATCAAGTTTCCTCTACTGAGCTGACGACTTGTACAGTATCTGTGCTGCAGGTGGGGCAGCCAAGCAGCATCAGCCAGGCGCAGCCCATCATCAGCACAACGGGAGCTCGTGCCAGTCAGCGGAGTGCTGTCCCGGACGGACATCGAGAAATCAGGGCATCCCAGAAGGACCTTCTCTCTAAAAGAGTTTTGGGTCATGTGGACAGCACAGCAACATTTCATGGAGAAGGGAGACACCCGGCTGACACACGGTGCAAACACACAAAGTTACCATGCATTTGGACGTTCGAATACGGAAACAAAACATACTGGGAATGCGTGTGAGGGAAAGACAAGTGCCAATTTCAGTCACACACACTGAATGTCAGAATGAACAATTGGAGGTTCCAGCAGGTTCCTTCTCCAGCTTTAAAGAAAGAAGGGGGTTGAGGTGAGTGAAATCCCAGGGGTCCTGGTTCAAAGTCTCCCGTGAGCAGCGTGGGGGTTGGGCCGCTCCCTGGGCTCCTCACCTTGATGTTCCTCCCTCCGAGCATTACAGAGTTCATCTGCTCCAAGGCAAGCTGTGCGGCCTCTGGTACCTCATACTCCACAAAGGCAAAGCCCTGCAGGGGAGGTGAACAGGCTCTTACTGAGGCTAAAGAGGCAGGACGACAAGAGAAGTGCCGCTCTTCCGGGTAGGGGGGGGTAATGTAAAAGAAACACAAGAAACCGTGGGTTAATTCATGCTAGTAAGTAGCAGGTCCATCACTGAGGGAGTCTACTGGCAGTCCACCACGCCACAAACAGGTTCCTTTCAAAGAAAAACATAAATCCATCTAATACAGACGCATTACAGTATTCATTCACTCGTAATATTTTATGATGCAATTTAAAAGGATTCTAATTCAGACTCTTAAAATGTAATTTTTAAATCAATATGTTGCAGTGCTGTGTGACGGCTAAAGAGTGCTGAGAATGTAGCTTCTTCTCAGGAAGGTAATTCTGTTCAATTATATTCTGTTCAGAATATAATATTCAGCTACAGTACTTTATTTTGAGCTAAAACACAGATTATACTTGTACGATAACCAGACTGACACTAGGTGTTCATATTTATTTATTACTATTATTATTTGCCCCAGACAGGTAAAACAGGCAAAATCCAGCTGTTCAGATGTGCATTTTGAAGGTTAACGAGAAGCTTGTATAAATAAGGCTGCCACAGCTATTTCTAACCGATTACCCTCATATCAATTTTCCCCCTTTAAGACAGAGCATGACAGAACAATCAAAGAAATGTATTACAGAAAAAAGTGGAGAAAATAGGAAGAGAAAAACGAAGGACGATTCTGACCTTATGCTTCATAGTAACAGAATCCCAGGACATGTCAATGCTCTTGATGGGTCCGAAGGGGGCAAAGGCCTGCCTGATGGTGTCCTCCCCCAGCTCGTAATAAATGGAGCCCACGTACACCCGGCACATGATGGCGAGCGCGCGCTGCCGCTGGGCTGCCACCTGCCAACGGGGAGAGACGTCCACTAGCGTTTACACGGCCGGGGACACACACACACACACAAGCAGCATATACATGTGTATGGGTGTATGGGTGTATGGGGCGGGGCGGCTTGCAAATGCTATATCTACCTCCCTGCTTGTGAGGGCGTCTTAAGTCCTCTGTGTGTCTCGAAAAGGCCAGTGTCAGAGAAACGGGGCATAATGTAATTGTTAATGTTTAATATTATGAATAAAGCTCTGTTTAAAAAAAAAAAAAAAAAAAAAAAAAAAAAAAAAAAAAAAAAAAAAAAAGCTTCTAAGCAGAGGTACTCACTCTTACCAAAAATTCAGACTGTGTATGTACTTAATGATTAATATGGAGGAGGAATAGGTTCAATACATCAAGCATCTGCCGTGTGCCTCTGTGAAGTGTGTCATATACATTACTACTTCAATAGGGGCCAAGCTAAACAAGCTTCACTGCTGTCCGGCTCTGAAACTGACTGGCATTCCTGATACACAAAAGGTGAGCGCTCTAAAATCAGCTGCAATCTTAACACCAAAGTGGCCCAATAAAAACAGTCAAACTTACGTTTTGCTTGAGTCTAGAGGGGTGGATTATTAAAACACAGAGCTGATTTTTTTGGCTTCCTTACTCAAGTCCAAAAGCTTCTACATACATTAAAAAAAATCTTAGTGTTCATCCATGACATGGAAAAAAAATGGTGACTTGCTTTGCCTACCCCAAAACAACCAAGATAGCCAACAAGAGGTCCCTGTTTGAGCAGTGTTGTAATTTAGGATGACTTAAAGTGACTGCTAGCCCTCTTTAGTACCAAGCCAAGGATCATAGTACCCATTTGTCCTGTTCCAAAGTGGACACATATTTATAAAGAAGACATGGGCTTAAGTTTATAGCAGCAATACATTCAGCTCAGCCCACCCACACCCCAATAATTCTGGATGAAGAACAATATTGATAATAGCCCTCATGGACCATCCTCTAAGCCCAACTAATCCAGACCTCATTACCTGCAAAAATGTGTGTTGACAAATCTTAACAGTAATTGATGCTAAGTTCACATTACACGATTTTAGCCACGATTTTCTGCTCACCAACAGTTTTTTGCAAAAGCCCCCAATCGGAAGCAAACAGGCATTCGCTCAATGCTGGCAAATTGGCACTCAAATGCGATTCAAGAACTGTTCAAAGACGGGACCCGACATTAGCTGATGCATTGAGATGCCTGTCAGATATCTAGCAGGCTATATATATGGACCTGTCGGCGACTTCAAATCCAGTAGAGTGAAAAGTGTTGTGACGTGGTTGCGACTGGCAATGAATGTGGTGACAAGCTACAGTCAATGAGAGTGCAAGACACAGGATGAGGGGAAACCAGGGAGAGGTGTTTAAAAACATGGAAAAAGTTCAATTTGTCTAGTAACTGTTCTTAGCATTCAGGGAAGAGGTACTTAGTGGAAGTTAGTTGTTTGTGACCTGATATACTGGATCACTAAAGACCTGAGGTATACAATAGCGTTTCCTGAAAGTGTTATGTATACAAGGGTTCATTTGGCAGGTGTTTGTAAATGTGGATCATGTGTTGTGATTTGATTAAAGTGATCATTTGTAGTGTGTCACTTCTCGCATGTTTCTGACACAAAGTTTGGACACCAGACATACTCATTGAGGATTCCTCCTGGTGAAAGAACCTCGGAATTTGTGACCTCCTGTCGCTGATCAGTCAGTGTGTGCAAACCACAATGACTTCAAGTTCCCTGATTACAAGATAAGTAATGTAATGTAATGTGAACAGTACAATGATCTGACAACTCTAAAAGTCGTACAGTGTGAACTTAGCATAAATTAGCTGAACAGTTTAATGACTTTTCCATTCATATTAACTGAATGGAGCACATCAGCTGACACTTCTCACAATTCACAAACTCTAAAACCAATAGTTTTTTGTACAAATGAAAGAATAATTTTGTCCAAAGCTCTACTACTGATAGAACCCACAGGAACGTAAGGGGTTGAAAGTTGCTACACTGTCGTTCAAATGTTCTCTTTCATGTGAAGCACTGAGATTCTCCCTGGTTAAATGACATGTTGTACAGCATAGATCCTCATCTTTCTGGTAAGAATATCAATAAATACAGGTTTATTTCAATGTAACAACAACCTTTTTAACCCTTAGCACACCTGACTGCCATTCTCAGGCAGAACTTGGCCAAATGAGTTGTTGAACAACGCCTCTTTGCTTGTTGTGGTGTGAGTGAGCAACCAGCAAGTATCTTATTATTCTGCCTTAAACAGTTTTCATTTCAATGAAAGCCTGCTGTCTGCTATTGAACAGCAGGGGAAGAAAGCCACACCACCACCATCCTATTTATGCTCACAAAGTAGCCCACTTTTCCCATGAGGATCCCTGCCGCTACATTCACCATCACCATGGTAACTTCAGAAACTGATATGACAGACGGGCCCATTAATTACATAACAGTCCATAAACCCACAAAACTGCTTCTGGTTATTTAGTCTAATTCTCAGGCAGATAATCCAAAGTGTTTTTCTCCCCCCAAAATCTGCCCAAATGAGGAGATGAGATTCACCAATAGTGTGCTAAAGGTTAAGTGATTCTTGGACTTACATGTGAAATGAATGTAAATTAGTACCAGTATGGTATCGATTAAATCAGGATGAGTTGCCCTCCTAAACTGTGTGCAAATCACACTGGTGTTTGACTTTGTTGCACATAGCACTGACTTTGTAGGAATGGCAAATTCTCACATCCCAGCAGGACCTGACTAAATCTGCAATTTTCAAGATTACTCCATGTGTTCCTGTCCAGCCAATATGACTAGTAAAAATAGTCCACAATGAGGGCACAGGGACCAATTTAAGCCCAACTTAAATCATTGCCCATTCAGCTGGAAATACACGCAATTAAACTGCACTTACCACTTCATCGTATTCAGTAGTTTTTGCATTTGTATGTGCATCTCCCCCCTCTCCCACCACACACAAAGCCATGTCTACTTTTTAAATATGCAGCATTGTTAATCAGTTCAACAGGGACGAGGTTCCGGGCTGACTGGCCACTTAAAGAAGGGTAACAGTCCCTTTAACAGGAGTGCGCACAAAGAAAAAAGTTTAATATTCTATTGACCGATTGTAAAGGTGAGAGAGGATCTCCAAAGCCCATTGTCACTGCTGCCATCTGAAAGACAGTAAAGATGGAAAAGTGCTGAAAAGTAGGTTAGATAATCTCTTCCTTAAAAGCTCATTGCTTATCAACTCAGACACACAATTCAAACCTGCTGCTACTGCCTCTCTCAGAAACCAGTCTTTCAGCTCCACCTAATCTGACGAGACCCCCCCCCCCCCCCCACCCACTCATACCCACACCCCCCTGAACTCCAGAGTCCACATTTTTTTTCCCCATGAACACAAGAGCTCAGGGGGTGCAAGGCAAACAAGTTACACATTTCTCTTTTTGAGTTGTTCTACTGACCCAAAACACAAACACTTAAAAAAAATAAAATAGGAGTGCACAATCAAAGGTCACAAACAACCTTGAATCAGTTAATGCAGTGCAACGTACATGGCATGTTCTCTACCCTTCACCATTCAAAAGTACATTACCCAAACTAACATACAAAATAAAGCAATTACAGCACGTTACATAGGTTTTGCTACATGGACTACTGGAGCTCCAATTGACACATATATTGTTTGAGTAACAAAGCTTCTCCCCATTATAAATATTTTGCAGTTATCACTATTCCTTGCTTTTTCCCCCATGAAAAAGGATATATTACACAATGTTCAAGCCATTCCCAAATACATCTCACACATAAAACATTAGGCTTTAGTATGTCAGCCTTTCTGGTCTCTGCATTGGTATTTGGGGCATTTTTGCACATATTACGTGGAGGGCGGGGCATCCACTTAGAACCATTTAAAACTCGGCCCTGTAAGATTATGCAAATGTGGCAGAGCCACTCATTTACTGTCTGGGAACTGGCGTCACGGCGATAGAGGAGGGAGGCAGAGCCCACAGCCCTAAGAGGTCAGTGCTGTAGCTGATGGGGGAGAGGGGGGGGGCACTGGGGGGCACTCTCACCTGTAGGTTGGTCAGTTGCTGCTGCTGGTGAGCGATGGTCTGCTTCACCAGCACACTTTTTATACTCTGCTCCATGGCATACTTCTTCGCCTGCGGAGACGAGGCGGAAACAGAATTCAAATGAAAAAAACTCGCCGCAGCCCAGATGATTAGCTAACAATTGGGGTGGTGTCTGGTTCTGCAGGTTACGAGGCTGTGTCTGTGATCAGAAAGTCGCTGGTTCAAATCTCAGGGTCACCAGAGTGATGTCACCATTGATCCCCTGAGCGAGGCTATTAACCCCAACTGCTCCAGGGACAAGCTGACCCTGTTTTCTGGTAAAAGTACATCACTTTGGATAAAAAGCATCTGCTAAATAAGTAAAATTTAAAAGGACCCACTGGTTTCGGTGTGACACGCGAACAAGACTGAACTACGCTAATTGGTTCATTTTCTTGCTAATGAGGGAAACACAGGCTGAGGTTTTATCTGCAAGGTAATGGTATAGTAACAAACATAAGGGGAAACATGACAGCATGTAGCATCATAACTGAGATGACACACACAGACTAATAGCCAAGCACTACAAGATAGAACATACCAGCAACTACAACTACAAACTAATCTAATAGCTTGATTAAGAGTTGGCTGCATCAGCTGAAGGCACTGAAACAATTCTATCACCATCAACATATGCAAACTGTGGACACACAGTACCATGAGATACATCTCTATGCTTTTCCTCTAAAGCCAAAAAGGACTGCATTCATAATTTATCATTTCTCCTTTACAGTAATCAGTGAAGACTGCCATCCAGAAGTGCCATACAAAACACTGCCCTGACTGCATGATGATACATTGAGCGCTGAACAGAATGCTTCTTCAAAACAACACAGCTAAAGCCAGACTCTGAGCCTGGAAGCTCCCTATTTGCAGCAAGGCATAAACAATACGATAAGGATAGTTTTATTTATAAAATAAATAGAAGGAATTCTTTATTTTTGCACAGGAATTCTTTATTTTCACATATGCCACCCTGCTCTCTTATAAAGCACATTATGCTGCTGAGACAAAGCTGGGGGTCAGTCTGCAGGGTCAGCGAATTTTCCGGCATCCCAGTACCAGTTTTTAGGGTTAAGTTGAAAAGCACAGCAATGACAGTTATTCTGCCAGCCTCCTAGGAAACGCCCTTGTGGACACAAGCAGACTCCTAACTTGCAGAGCCACATGTGGAAAATGTTAACGTATTGTCCGTCTGTCATGCTAATGACTAATGGCTAATGAGAAAATTAAGTGTCTGTAGCATGATCTGGGACCTGTATCACAAAGCAAGATTTGCTGGTTCGCTAGACAACTTGATTTAAGGTACCCCAGTTTAAATGGACTTTATGTTCTTTCACTTATATTTAGACCAGACTAACTTAAATCCAACAAGTTATCCAGCTAAGCAAGAAATACCGCTTCAATATACAGACCTCTGGAAACGGCAAAAAAAAATAAATGAAAACATAACGCAAAATTGAGGTAGACAGCCCAGGAGGGGACAGTGCCGACAGCAACTCCCACCTTCTGCAGGGCCTCCTGTTGCTCTGGTGTGAGAGGAGGCAGGCCAAGCTTGGCACCAGTGCCCTGTCCATTCTCCATGGTTAGAAGTTCGCCCCCCTGTGGATGCGGGCAGAGGCATCAGGATAACAGACAGATATGCATGGAAATCATAAAGACAGATTGGTTATTCATAAAGGCAGAGAGGCACTTCATGTGTTGCACATCAAACAACTCACTATTGTGCTGATCCAGACATTTTCTTTTAACTGTGCTTCAACCCAACAGCTTAAATGTCTGCAAATAATCCATTCACAGCAGTTCATTAAAACAGTCCTGCAAATATGCCTATATTAAGCAATGAATCTTTAAAGGAAAAAAATCTGAAAAAAGTTCAACTGAAAATAAACGCATATTAAAATCAGCAATTTTGCATTTCACATCACAAAAAATAAAATTAAATCTAACATTGTACAACACGAATTTAAAAAAGCAAATAAATACTGTAAATACATACGTAGAAAAGCAATATTATACAGGGTGGTCCACATAAAAGTGGCCCAGGATCTTAAACAGAATTGACAAGTGAGGCTACTTTTGTGTAGACCATAAATACGGGTGACAGTCCCTTTGTAAAGAGAGAGCTTAGATACAAGGTTTAGCAGCGAGAAAGACAATCTTTACATCTTTAAACCAAATCCTCCCTTCCAAAAGATGTTCAACATATTCCTGATGAATTGTATTTAAAACCAAAGGCAACATATTTTCTCTCATGCTGTAATAAGACAATCAGGTTTGCCCCAGAACAGTATTACCCAGAAACTTCCATAATTATGAAAATGTTTCAGTCAAAATTATGGCTGTAACGGTACACATTCATTGTGTACCGTTCGGTACATCATTTTTGTTTCGGAAAGCACGATGAAACGAATGGATACATTTAATGAAAACCTAAGTTCACAAGTTTATAATCAACATGGAAAACACTACTGTAATTGTGGCTGAGAGTTGGTTGCAGCTGTGGCAGTCATAACCAGCGGTAGGGGAAGGCGATATTGCAAAAATATCAAGAATTTTTTAGGCAGGGTCATGATCCGCAGTCTTATCCTGATTCTCTTTCATGTTTAAAAACTATTCTGCATGTTACTCTACAGTAACTATGTCAGTTTTTAAAATACAAACAAGTTCCATATTACCGATGTCAAATTCTTTTTAGGCATGTTGCTCATGCCGATATGCTGCCAAATAGGGCATGTTTGGCATGTTGGGACAAGGGTGTGAAGGTGAGAGAGGAAGAAATCCAAAGGCGCTACCTTCTGTTTGCTATTGCCGGTTTACTGACATGTCAAAAAGGATTTGGGTGCCAAAAGAACTTTAGATGTGTCTTTGAGTCACAGAACTGCAACTATGGCTGCTGCGATTAGTCGACATAGACGTCGGCGTTAAAAATGGGTCGGCGTTGATATTTTAAAATTGATGAATCGCTTCAATTCAGTATAACAAATGTTTTCCTGTAATGTCACTACATAATTATGGTAGTAGTTCAAATAATCACTAATCAAAAAGGTGGTTTTACACCGTGCAAAGCGGTACTGCTACGCACAAGCACCTGAAGAGGAAATGCACAGGCGCTATTCTGGATGATGGACTGCCAGAAATGGCAAAAGGCTTTTAAACATCTTCTGTCTTTCTACCTGCTAAACATACTCATCATTAAAGCCATAAAGCTGTCTGCCTACTACCTTAAAGTTTTATCTGAATAAGGAATCTGAAAATATTTAGGTTAGAATCTGAGCTTATTCTACGTTGACGGTGCGAGTGTGTGTGTTTGTGTGTGCTGGGCTTGTTGGGACTAGTGTTATTGCACACTAAATAAAAAAAATCATTTGTGAACTGAAATAAAAATGAAAACTATATTTACCAAAAAAAAGTGATGGACTGCAAAAGGTATCGCCACACCAACGTCTTTTACCTTCTTTAACCACAGTATCTCGTCTTTTAAAAGACATGGCTGCTGAAATGTCCATTTCTTCATCGCCACTTCAGTGCTTATCGCTTCCATGATTTACCAAAACAGTAGCATGTGGCTCGCTCCACTAACCAAATTTAATAAGCATAAGGATACGCTGAATTTATACAGATTACTAAATTTTGGGCATCACAATATGCACCTCATTACTATTTTAGGGAGACGATCTGCTCCGGATAATGTCCATATAGTGCAGAAAAGCCAATGTCCATTATCTAAAGCCTGGCAGTGACATATAGTTTATTGTTGTCAAAATAAAATCAATTTAAAATGGTCAAGTGGATATTCTGGAGGAAAATTAATCATTTAGGTTAATCAACCAATCAGTAATAGTCGATAGATTAGAGATGTACCGATCCGATATTCGGATTGGTATCGGCGCCAATCCAGACCTATTAGACTGATCAGGTATCGACCATATGTGACCGATCCATATCTGATACTCATTTAGGTTTTGGTAGTCTCTAAAAAGCTCCTATTACACGTTAAATCCATTTGTACAACTGCACGACAGCCCATTTTAGATGTATTTAAGCTGAACGCTAATGCGGCACTCATTTTTTTGGCAACTCAGTGGGCGGGAGTACAGTGACTTCCACCTGCTGTGACATCACGCACATACCCTTTGGAGTACGAGGAGCATCAGAACATCAGATAAGACAATCACGATCTGGAAGTATTTTACGATTTTAACAGCAATTAGTAGCACAGTGATTTGCAATCTTTGTAAAAAAGTTTTGAGAGGTGGGAGTAGTATAGAAGAAAATCCCACTAAACAAAGCGCACTCAATTGTGCAAGATAAAGCGAGTAATATGAAAAAAAAGCAATGGCTGATTTGGGAGTTGCTAGCTTGGGCTGTTTTGCACAGTGGCTACAGCTTGTGATACAATGGCTGCTATCGCAACGCTGTTGCCAGTGGGAGAAAAATTGTAGGGCATTGTAAGCATTCGCCACTTGTGTATACTCTCTTGGAAGATATTCAAATAGAACAGCAAAATGCTTCAAAAATGTAAAAAAATAAAATAAAATTTTGGCATCCATCTGTATTTTACTAGTTTTAAAATATTACAGTATAAATATATTATATTTATTATAATAAAGAAAAAAGGTCATCAGAATCAGATTGCAACTGAAAAAGAGGATCAGCCCATCCCTAAGATTAATCCATACAAAGAGTTGCTAGTAGCAGCCCTAATTGCAACTGACAGAACACACACTGTCATACTACTAATGATCTCTCTATACAGGCACATTGCTGAGAATCATTCACGATCTAATATCGGTGGTTTAAGGAACATTTTGGTTGCCCAATAAATTACACCAGTCCTGGAGAAAGAGTAACTGATAAGATCAAAACTGGAAGTTGGCTCTGTTATTCCAAACTCATGTATGTTGCTGTGGAAACATCCAACATGCTAACTTATTAGAGAAGATATCGGAGAACGTGGATGACCTGAACAAGGCAGAAACCATCATGGCAAGTTAGCCTCCCCATGGTATCTTGGATGCTTTTCTCAATAAATTGAGACAGGGCTTAAAAAAAACCCAACAACTACGGATATAGAAGTTAATCACAATAGATATGACTATACTTAACAGTAGAGAACAAAAAATTGTTATTATGATACATTTTCATCTCATGTTTATTTTTACAATGTGGAAATAAGCATCTCAGCTTTTGCTATTTAGACACAACAGACACATTACCTTTGGTTTACAACTGTTCCTAATTGTGTGTGTTTCAATAATTCATTTCAAAACTTGCGTTTTCCTTGCTCTACCTAAATCACAAAGAACCATGAACCCAAAATCAAGGTTTGTACCGATTCATGAATTTTGTGTACAGTTATGCCCCAGGTCAAAATGAAAATGACACAATATTATTGCAGTCCAGCGACTGCTGAGTCGTCAGTCTTCAAGATTTTTAAACTTGGGCCAGTAATGTGTTGCTCGAACAGAACACACTCAAGAGGGTTGGCTCTACTGAAAAGATGGTTGTAACTCAGAGGCGTGATGCATACTGGGAAAACGGGAGTCTTACCTAGCACCCGCGCTCCGTCGGGGTCACGGGGACCTTACCCGTGGGAGATAAATAATGGGAAGAGCTTTATATGTTCAAATGGCTCTATAGGAAAAGAAAAGGCCTTTAGTTGAGTTAACTTACACATGTTTCCAAAGGCTCTGTACTCTATGCCCAGAAATGCCACATACAAGGTCATGCAAAGTAACGAAACAAGTTGCTTGTCTAAAAATAAAGAAAAATATGTAAGGCCATAAAGCATGTGTGTGTATTTTGTCTGTAAGAATGACAAACTGTTTCTACATGGGTTATTTTTTACTACTAAAAAAACCTATTATGGGAGTAATAATTTAGGAGTTCAGTGCTTTTGAGAAGTCTTTTGTTTGGTATGCAGACAAGCCAGTACTTTGTCTCGCATAAATAAAAAGAGGGCACACAGATTGTCACGCAAGCACGAAAAGTGTCACATTTACCAATACAGATTACAGGCATACGAACTTAGGTTTGTACATAAACAACATGATTTATCTGTTGTGATGTGTCACATGTCATACACGAACACCGTAAGGGGACGGACCATCCCAATGACGTCGTGAAGGCTACGGATGAGCCCAATTTTACAGACATATTCGTCGTGTTATTTTACCAATTAATTACATGCTAGGTAATTGTTTTTAATAAATATGTACTTCCCGCTCACGGTCGCTGTGTTTTCGTCAAATTACTCACAGAGCACTAACAGCTGTCAAGCAACTATTAAAACTCGCGTCTTCATTTATATCAACGCCTAATAGCCTGGACGGGTTAAGACATTTTGGTAAGGAATAGGGAAGGATTTAGCCGGGAAATCAATTCAGGCTCGTTTCGTCCGCCAAACGGAGTTAACACAAACCACAGGTCCTTAGGGGGCGACTCGCTGAACCGTCTGCCGACCGCCCCTGGCCCGGGCGACTGAAAGCCTTACCCAGCAACGACCCAGTCTCGGTATTCAGAAAACAGACATTAAAATAAAACCATTAAACCCTGTTTATGACGTAGCAGCTGTTCAGCATAAACAGCACCTTATCACGGCCTAACGGTGACCGGCTAAGTTGCCGTATCTGTCGAAGCCCACCAACAGATGATCGGGGAGCCATTATGATATTCTGCAGGTATATGTCCCGAAGCTCTTCCCCAAACATACCGACTGGTTACCTACCCCGTATAAAGGCTTTAAATAACCACGTTTAAAAGACTATCCGGCCCCACTGTGTTATAGCTACTTTAGCGGGGGAAGCCAGAAGTCAGCCACAACCGCAGCTCCGTCACGAAGCTACATAACTGCCCAACGGCATAAACAGCTTTCTTCAAGCACAAGCTGAAAAGCTGTAGACAGACGAGCCTGGCTTGGGCTACTAACAGCACCGGTCGGTTCTGCTCGGCCCCGCTCGACTCGACTCATCTTTCCGGACAAGTAGGACACCCGGGAACAGAGGCCATGCGTAGCCAGGCCCCCCGACCGGCCTACTGCACTCCCGAACAGGAAAACAGCCAATGCTGCTGCACACTTTCCGTGTGATTACAAGCATATGGAACGAGGAAAAGAGGAAGACGCGATTATTTAAGCTTAAAGTTCGGTTTCCTTACCGCAGCCACCGCCACCGCCATGAAGCACACTATCGTACACAGCGCCGACTGAATTCGGAAACCCGAAAGTCCCGCGAGACTGCGCGAGAAACCTGAAAAGGTTGCTTGTATGGAGGGTGATCTCGCGATAGATTTTTAAGCGCTCGTGCCTTCCGTATTTTAAAGTTGAAGAGACGCCTGTTAATTATTATGTTTGATCACCCTGACTTTATTAAAAAGACGTTCGTTACATTGTCATTGTGCACTTCATTTGTAAGAATGAATGTGAAATTAACAAGGAATCGAGATTTGAATTCTTTGCTATTGTTTCCCTTATCTCATGTACATCCCACTGCATTGTGCCTAGGAAACCAGGAGCATTTTCCTGAGCAATAATGGTGCATGTATTTGGTGTTGAGCTGGCACAGAGATGTGGCAGTTTGCAAAAAAATCATGCAGTTATCTGAATTGTTTTATGTAAATGGCCTGTATTATGAACGTGATACTGAAACTTAAGAAATATCAGGGCCAGTTCTAATCTCAGGTACTAAATAAGTCATATATTATTATTATTATTATTATAAATATAAGGGGAATTGAATCAATTCAGTATTTGCAAATGCTTTATTGTTGTCATGTACAGTCATATACTAAGTGATAATCATTCATTAGCAGTCTGGGTACCCCTGCACTTGTAAGCCCTCACCTGAGTCTGAGCTCAGGGTTGTCAACTTTGGTCAGCTGACTAGCATGAGATTTCCAATTCCAGACATGTCTCTACACTTCTTTACATATATGTATCAGTTTTATTACATTCTAAATAGTCTGTGGGGTTTGCAAACTACCCCAACGCTTTTGATGTTGCTAATTTTGGATTAATAATGGAACAATACAGATTTCTTCTGTGAGAGTCAAAAGGCGTGAGTGTCATGCCAAATGCATGAAAGTTGGCAGCCCTGCTGAGCTGCAAGGCTTGGAAACTAAGGCTGTGCTGAACTGTGCTGAAAAACTGATTCCTCCGATCTGAATGTTTTCATTTTGAGGATGAGTTCTAACATTTAAATATCGATTTTTACCTGATAATTAAAATGATTATATATTATAAGCGGCAGAGGCATATTAACATGATCGGGGCTTCTGGGCTATTCTATAGTTGTCAATGAGGGTTGGGGGGGGATGGCAATGATAATCAATGTCGGCCAGGGGCCCTTTTTGAGGCCCCTTTTAAGCGGAGACCCCCGGGCTTGATTCTGGTTTAGATTATTAAAGCCCCCTTGGAGCAACACATCAGAAATGGGATGGGACCCTGACACAAAAGAAACTTTATTTCCTAAGACAGCTGAAGAAACTCAGCATATCTCAGGTGCTAAGGCTGATTAGGACTGTAGAAAAAAATCAGCTGCAATCTGCCCTCCCTACAGGACAACTACAACAGCAGGGTCCTATAGCGTACTGGCAAGATCATTTTGGACATTTCATACCCTGGTCAACACCTCAAAAACTAGCCAACAGCTTCTTCCTTAAAGCAGTATCTCTTATAAATCTTGTCATACCTGCTGAATAAAGTCTTTCTGTGTCTGAGTCTGAGACACTAAGGAAATGGAATACCAACCTCGGATTGAACCGAAACTGTATCAAAAAGAAAATCAGTGATATTGCCCATCCCTAAAACGATGCCACAGGCCAGGGGTGGGCAATCTTATCTGCAAAGGGCCAATGTGTATGCCGGTTTTGGGATAACCTTTAGGCCAGCTGTTGAAACTCAGGCATGAGAATTCTTCAGCCAATCAGTCCTCTAATTAGTAATGTAATTAGTAAGCAACAAAAACCTGCATATCCAAAAGCCCTTTTGGCCGAAGACTGACCCTCTAATGCCATAGGCCAACCTGCTGAGCAACCTTAAGAGTGGGCTGGACTCCTAATTAGTTCATACTGGCTTATGTCTGATTTCAAACAGTTAGGCAGCCAGTTCTTTCCCTTCCTCTAATTACAACCGTCTTTTCCCCCATGCGCTGTAATATAATTCTGATGGCATTCTGGTTGCTGAATCTTTAGTTATGAAGGAAGGCTTGAAACCTAGTAAGGGGTGTGATTGTTAGATGCTCCCCAGCTGATATGAAGTTGCATTTTCTCTGTTAACATGAGGTATTATTAGTCTTCGGACAGTGTGGAAATGTTTTACAGCAGAACAATAACATTGATGTTCCTGTACTAAAATTTTAATGGCGGTCATACAATTAGGATACAAAAAAAGCAAGAGTCCCAATTTTTCCTAAATGGACAACAAGCAAATAACTATGTTTACTCCCAGGTGTGGAAACAGGTTGTCATTTTTAACCACAGAAGATTTTTTTTAATTGAATAATGACTCAAGAAGATGTTCAGAAACAATCAGTCGCAGCCAGGACTTTGTCGACATGTTCCTGCTTTATTATTTTAATTGCTGTGATTATTGTACAATATCTTACATGAGGACAAAATCAAACAAAGGGAACCTGGAAATTACAAAAGGAGGCCACACTCAATGAAAAGGCTCCAGGATGGAGGGAAGAAGAGCAGATGGAGGTGTTAAGTGAGGTATGGACAGAAGGATTACTCTTTAGGCTTTGCGCATTCATTCTGTTGACCAGGCGTCGTCTGTACGGCCAGCCGCCCATTTAATCATTTAAATGCCGCAGCAGCGTTGATCCCACTCACGGAGTTTCGGTGAAGATGCACAAAGTCAGAGTGGCGGCAGGGTGATCGTGCTCACCTAGCACACCATCGAAAAACAACCAGAGCGATCAGAAGTTTTCAGCAGAGATTACTGGAGATGACAATGGATCTTCTTTAGCATTGGCCGATGCAGAAAGGATGCAGCTTCAGTGTGAATACAGACGCAGAGCAGGCATTCATAAACAATAAAGTCACCATGTCCCTGTTCTGCATACAGAAGAGGAGACTGCAGAAGACTGATCATGGAAAAATACATTTCTGTAAATCTCTCCTGCTTCTCACAAATTACTGTCTTTCTAATCATCAAACTCAGATTCCACCCTAAACTCACATTCAAATTCAATTCCTGGTATTGTAAAGGGGTGGTGTGAATTTAAGAGTATGACTATTTTATGTCTGCCCTACATGTGCTATATAAACCTATCAATTTTAGTCGAGAGTTCTAATACACACTTCTGATACACTACTCTCTTTTAAGGCTTTCGTTTTCGGCTTTCGTACACTGGATATTATGCCGCTACATGGTTAACCTGGATATTGGACTAACAGTTGTCAATTAATCCCTATTTTCATCTGTTTATTCATCACCATCAATGTTATAATTATTAATTTTTAGAATGACAACTACATCACCAGTCCACCAGTAAATAAATGTGGAGTGGCCATATTGGATGGAATTGAGTTTCTTTGACATTAGATCATCAGGATATTTCTCAGTGACAAATTGACTGTAGGTCTAACACACTTGTTTTTATGGCAGCACACAAGTAACAATCCAATTAGGCCATGAGGAGAAATCTAAAAAAAGGGTAAATGTAAGCAACCTTAGATAACAGCATCTGCTGGATGATATTAATTATATATACTACACAGAGTACTAAACCAAGTATATATTATATAGCTGTAGACAACAGTAGACAATGTTATCTCAAGCAACTTACATTGTGCATTATATAATTACATTACATATAAAATGCTCTAAAACTAACATAGATATATATTCCGAGAAGCAGATCCATTAGATGCAAATTGTGCAAAAAATGTAATTCTTCTTGAACTGGTTACAGTGGGACACCACTGTCTGCCCCCTCCCTTTCATATCATTGCGCTGATTCATCGGTCAACAGGCATGGAGTGCTGTTTCGAAAATTGTTTTTGCCCATATACCTCATTGGTGGTGTTTAAATGTTTCACGCGGTTTTGAGGGGCAAAGATCTTTGACAGCGGAACAGTATTTCCAGCTTAAAGGCATCAAAATGACATGTGTGGTACACCTAAACGGTGCACATTTACCATATTGCTTTCCCTAGATACAAAAAACAAATCCTAAAAACAAGAGAGGCCCATTTTAGAAATTATTTCCTCTGAATGCCTACTGGATCAGGATAGTTTGTGGGTTTAGAGACTAGGAGACCTCCTGTACTAGACAAAAGGCCTCTTTCACAGCAACCCAATGTGAAGGATAACTTTTACGAAGGATATTTCAGTTATAAATTGCAAACTCAAGAGTTCTGGTCACAACAGCATAAGGTTGCTAAGTGGCTGGTCCTGATAGAATACCTTTTTGTATTGTTACTAAGGCCTTTGTGCCCTCTTAGCGTCAAAAATACAGGGGTTTCAGATGTGTCTGAACATCGGGACCAAAGAATAAAATAACAATAAGCAAGGAACTACAACAACGTACATGCTGGACCACTGTCAGCACATACAAAGGCACTCAAGCCTAACTCAAACGATGCTCGCAGCAATACCTTCACTTCATTAACTGAGTAGGATAATATGCAAATTATGTCTTCAGCTCTCCGGAAGTGTCCGCCGCTCCGGCAGTGGCCAGGAGATAACTGCGGATCATCTGTTCGCGAGAGAGCTCTCCATCAATCAACTGGGACGTCAGCTAAACCTGGGGAGTTCAAGGTACCATACGGGCCCCCAAAAATCAAATAATCAACAGATAACTGGTCCTCACTCATGGGTGCGTGGCCCCGGACTCCCCCAGCTGCCCCGGGGGAAAAGCATTGTGCTTTATCTCTCGGCCCACAAACAGAAGACGGGGTGAGATGGTGTTGGAATAAAACCACAGGGCAGGCAGAGAAACAGAGCTGTGAGGGTTTGAAACTGATTCCCTACTGTGACGCCGGAACAGGCTTTGGTTGGAGCCCTCCGACAGGAAGCAGCCATTTGGAATGAAGGATCTTAAAGTGAAGGGTTCAGCCCTCGTCCTCTAAGTGCAGGCTTGTTCTGCTGGTAACAACTGCCACATGCCCCCCCCCCCGCCCCCGCGTGCCACGCCGCTGAGGTCCCTCCCTTTCTCTAGTCCACGCGTCCATCTCCCACGTGGCCCCTGGGGGCCAGCCCGCATCGGCCACCGCTGTGCCCCTGCCTGAGTCCTCCTCTGTCCTCTTCTCCC